TATATATATATATATATATATATATAATTATAAGGAGCAATTTACCGACAGAGTCTAGAAAATATAATGTGAGAAAGTCGGCGTTAAGTTCTACAAATGAAAAGATTGGAGAAATTATGTCCATTCCCTTTCCCTTCCGATGGCACCGGCGGTTTTTTCCCCTAAGCTACCCTAAAATAGTTATCAACGCAATCATGCATTTCTTTGCTAATTATAGGGGTGACTCTTTTCTCTATTAAAGCTCGTGGAATTCATATTTAGTCTCTTCCTTTTACATGGCCTATTTGATTTTAATTAATCATTCATGAGATAATATTCTTACCTTTACATGCATTATTCAAGCGAAACTTGAAGTCAGATTAACGTAACAGTAAACAGGGGCGGATCTAGCTTTTTGCCAGGGGGGGGGGGGTGACCCCGTGGCGGATCCAGGATTTTCCCCAAAATGGCGCCGTTTTACTGTTTTACTTTTTTTCTTCTTTTCTTTCTTCTTCTCCCCCCCCCCCTTTTCACTTGCCCGCCCAAGGAGGGTGGGGGGGGGGGGGTAAACCGCCGAAACTCCCCTAGATCCGCACCTGGTCAAATAATGTTTAAAGAGCGTGGGCCGAGGCAAATTATAAAAGCTTTTGGGTGCAGAGCATTCTATCGGAGCTCCACCATCTATTGGTGTAATATTTTATATTTTACCTATCATGATGAAAGAAACAAAATCAGTATATGCGGTAATTAAGCTACTATCTTTTAATTTACACAATTTTAACTGGCCCTTGTTTTAATTTTATCTATACATCTCATTTTGAGTATAATATAATACTGTATAGCCACAAGGGTGAAGTCCGTCTTTCGGATGGTGACGTTAAAGGTCGGTCCCAGACGTAAATAATCATATCTGATTGATACACGTCGGTAAAAACCCAATTACACACACACACACAGGGTGAAGTTAATGAGGAGGGAAATCAAGAGTCATTAGCCTATGTCCCTAGAATACTGGTATGTAGGTCTGTGCTAGAGTGGGGGGGGGGGGGGCACTGTTATTATTGAGGAGCACCTATTGGTCGTAGTCGTTGGATAAAATATAACTTAAGGCCTCCGATATAGAGGGGAGAGGGGGGGGGGGTGTGGGAGGAGATGTTATCTCCTTCTTTTTACGACCGCCTTATACACCCTTCTTCATTTCTCTATTTTATTTCTTCTTTTAGTTTCTTTACCTTTCCCGGCCCTCCGTGTATCGATGAATGGTCACTATCCAAACTTGAAAATGTTCTCCCCAATTATCATATTTACATGAGACACTGTTCGATTCAAACATTTTGAAAGCTCAAAGACCAGGGGCGGATCTAGCTTTTTGCCAAGGGGGGGGGGGGGGGGTTCGACCCAGTGGCGGATCCAGGACTTTCCAAAAATCGCGCCGTTTACTGTTTTACTTTTTTTTCTTCCCCCTTTTTTTCTTCACTATTGTCTTGGTCGACCAAGGGGGGGGGGGGGGTTAAACCGCGGAACCCCCTAGACCTAGACCCCTAGGCTTCGGGTTACAGTTAGTTAATTAATCTTTTTCTTTTCCTAACATTTATTGTGACTCTTTTCCAAATGTTGCCGAATAAATATTAATTTGTCAATTTGAGATTCACATAGTTTTTTTACAAACTGTATATACATGTAGTTAGCAGTTTGATTTCACATTCAAACAATCATATATATTTAAAAATAACCGGTTTCATTTGTTTTTAACTTCCTAAATTCAAGTGACGGTGTACTGATCTGGGGAGGGGGAGTGGGGGGGGGGGGGGTGGGTCAGGCATGCATGTAAACGGTATGTATTATGCACTCTAAAATGCAGGTGTTCATGAATGCGTCTCTTCCATCCATTTCTTTACCCCAGATAGCAGGGGCAGCGATTTTTTTTCATGACCAGGGGGGGGGGGGAGGGATGAAATGCGAGGGGCAGGGGAGCAGTGGCGTAACAAAAGTGAGCAAAAACTTTTTTTTGGGGGGGGGAGACAAAAAAAAAATCCGCATCACCTCCACTCTTACGTGCAGGTACATGCAGGCCCCGCGGAACGTTTTTCAAAGTGGGGGGAGGGACTAAAATATTTTTGATCAGGTAGTGTGAAGCAAGTGGAGCGAAAATTGGCGTGGGGTCCAATGGCGTAGCCCCAAGAAGCTCAGGGTGTTAGGCATTTAATAACTGTCAGATGAGCATCCAGGGGGCAGAGCTCCCGGAAGCTTAGGGTTTTTAGGCATTTCATTATGGTCACATGAACAGGGCCCGCCTTAGGGCCCTTGATGGGGTCCGGGGGGGGGCAGAGCATGCTCAGGGAAAAAAAAAAAGCTATTTCAGCAACATTTGTAAATCACTGGTATCGAATTAGAAATAAACCATGTTTGAATTTTATTAAAGACCCCCGATCCCCCCCCCCCCAATCATTACGCCAGTGCGGGTGAAGGTGACGGAAGTGACAGGTTTTTGAAATTTTGTTGTATTAACAAATTACATTCTTTAGCAAAACAATAATATAAAAAGAAGCAATTTACCTTTTTCACACATCGCTTTTCTACAATATTTACTCGTACACTATGAAGAATATTATGCGAGGGAGCATATAGCTCCCCATAGCTCCCGATCGAGCGAGAAGTTTTTTGCATTTTTTGTTGTTGGTCTAAACGCTGCACTCGTGGGCCCTCCTGAGTCTTTAGTCAGTATTTGATATACACTTATTTTTGTGCACTTTTTCAAATTTCAGGGGGGGGGGGGGACGGACGATCCCCCCTAAAAAAAATTCGGTCCCCCCCCCCCCCCCCCCCCCCGTCCCCCCTGGGTAGGCTACACCATGAATATGTCTGAGGAAGGGGTCTGGTTGAGCTAGTACAATATGGTCGATTTGTTTCCCTTTATAGTCACTCATTCTAATACATTAAAATTCGATTATCATAATGTTCAGAACTTCAGATGCCTTCTATTACAAACCATGTGCCTTTTAAAAAGGTATCATATCGTAATCATATATCATATTATTTCACCATTTAATGTATGACTTAAATTTTTTTTTTTTTACTTAATTGATGGATGATAAATGAATGAGATGAAATATTAATGTTGCTTCATGCGCAGATATTAATTTTTCTGAAAATTCAGCATTGGAATGCTAGCAGTCAAATTCACCTTTAGAGCATATTATAAGGTCTTTACTCAGAATAAGACTATTATGGCATTCAGAACTCATCCCAATATAAAAAAAAGGGCACATGTTATGAAAATTCCATAGAGCTATAGCTCTATGGAAAATTTACGTCTCCTTTGAGGCCACCATACTCTGACGGATACACGAATTTCGCCTTGGACCGGTTCCGGATATTTGTAATGGCAGTATGATTGATTTTATCAGGGCATGTGAGTTCACCTCCCTGATTTTATGTAATATCTTCCCCTTATGAACCCTATGATAATATTCCCATTGTATATCTCTATCATTACATTCTACTTTGCAAAGCAGTATATAAATGAACAACATTTTGAGAAATCGGATTTCTTACAAATATCCGATTTGGTTACAAATATGAAAATAGCCGCCGCACGTATCGCAATTATCCGGCAACCTGGTAACGAGATGCTCTTCCATCGCGTTGATCTCATATGCGGTGTACACAATGTACACATAGGCCTATCCTATATTCTCTAGCTCTGCGTCGCGCATATTGCAACTAGATACACACTCATTATTACCTGTGCTGTATAGCTGTAGGCCTAGCCATTTCATCAAGCAAAACTACCGGGCAACTTACAGTTTTTGAAAATCGTAAAAGCCTCATGATGATCATTATTACATGGTGAGTTAGACCGAATTTTCCGTCTCTTTCGTTCGTTATGCCTCTTATTTGGGTAGGGTCGGCTCTCTCTTTAGAGACGGAAGCCGACTAGGCTTAACTTAGGTCTAGAGCCTATAGATCTACGCATTCCCTTGCTAACACCATGGCCATTTATGGCCATATTTTTATGCCCCGAAAATCCCCCCAAATGTCATTTTACCTCGTGCATGTTATATTGTAAATTAGGCCTAGGCTATGATAAATCGGTTCCACTTACCAACTTGACTGAAATAATCCGTTTAATGGTCCTTTTTAGGAAATTATGGGTCAAAATCGAAATCCATGTCTTGCAAGATTTTCAAACATTTCAGAGGTGGAAAAACTGGAAATGCCAAGTCAAGAGGTAAAATGGCAGAGGTAAATTAATATTAAGAGGATAATCATGATTTGGAAGGGGGGGGGGGAACCCGACAAGCTAAAGCTATGCACTAAAATTAAATCTAATTATTGCTCATTTAAAGGGGTAGACTAGTTGAGTTCTTGTTTAAGACCACAAATGTCTTCAAAGTGCATGTTTACTGCTCTTAATTCTTATTTATGACATTTCTAGTGCCCTTTATTACAGGTAACTTAAAATTGCTACGAAGGTAATTTTAGACCCCAAAATGTATGAATTTAGATTGAAAACGATCATACAAATTCAGCACCACTTTACAAAAAATATGGTGACCGTTAATTAATTAATTAATAATAACAATCCAAGGGCTAGCTGGTAATGGTTGTGAGTATTATAACCAACACGAAAAAGCCTACAAAAAGCCAATTTGGCATTGGCTGGAATAAAACGTATAAGGCGCTAACCTGTTTTCAACCGCTGGTTTAAAATTACTGAATATTTATGGATATTTCAGCCGTCTTTGAACCAATTTTTATCAAACAGAGGATTTTGTGTAGCGCCCTCTTCAACAAAACTCAACTATCCCTGGCTTTAGTTGAATAGGAGGACTGTTTCCGTTGTTTATCACGGTTCTAAAATTTTTGCAGTTGACTTGTGGAAGAAATTACGATAAACAAATGTCAATAAGGCATCGATTCAAGTAATTTTATGTTTGTGTAAAAATTCACTTCGATTTAATTAATTTTTATTGATGATAATTGATATTACAAGAAATGCATGATTTTTTTTTGGATTTTCTTTGCAAACCTCAATTCCTCAATCACCTCAGAAATTTGGTGCAGTTATTGATGCATAAAGTCAATAGATGTACACAATTGTTTTTACTGTACATGGAACTAATTTTCAACATTTCTCAATGCACTCAGTTGGTACATTTAGTCTTTGTCATTTTTTTTTTGCAGAACACTGTATAGTCATGGTCAGTGAGATGCCAGATCTAGACACCAAGTTGATCACTTCTGATGATGTTTTCATATCTTCTGGGTTTTCAAAGCGGAAACAGTAAAAAATAAAGATGTTCAAGAATGAATTTCAGGTAAGGAGACAAATGTGACTGTAGTCTAAGTCTAAGATGAAAATGGGTTTTCTTCTGGCTACATATTTTGGAAATAAAATCTTTTGTTTATGCTAATTTTGGATATTGGAATTTATATCAATATTTTAGAGAAATCCTTGCCATTAATTACAATGTTCATGTATGCTAGTATAGAATAACCTTACAGTTTATGTCTTAAATTGTATTTATGAGCAATCATATTGTTCAACCAGGATAATGAATGTAATCCCATTACAATAGCAATTCATGCAATTTGTTAACACCGTAGATAGAATTTAAAAAAAATGACAATCATAATAATTATTTTGTTCAATGATAATACAAATGATTTGTACACAACAAATGGGGTGAATAATTGTGAGTTTTAGCAACACATGATTTTGGCCCTTTTTCAAGTTTTGATATCTTCACCTCGCAATGCCCTTGGGTTAAAATGTGAGTAACACCACCATTGATCTAGTCTTGCCACCCTAGATTCTGTTATACATGTATGTTCATTTGATCTATGACAACCTTGAACAAAATTGGGGGGGGGGGGGAGGATGCAAGGAATGGGAATAGACCATGTACATACGTTTGATCTATGACATCGGTAATTCAATTAAATCTTTCTTTTCTTTTGAAGGGTGGTCCCTTTGTGGAAGTATTTAGCTCACAAGGTAAAGAACCCTTGTCGAAATGGAAACTATCAGGACAGACCTCGATTCATAAGGTAAGAAAGCAAGAAGAAATGTATCTAATATAAGTTGACCAGAAATTATTTTCTGATTCCAAAATCACTTTTTACACATATAATGACTGTATAAAAAAATGAATCAAGATTGTTTCTTGCTATTGAGTGCTGTTCGCAACAATAGATACTGGATATGAAGCAAGCTCTTAACATCAAAATGGTTGATTTAAATAAAAAAAGGATAAAGAAAGTGCAAATATGTGTCATGTTTGAAAGCAATGTTGTACACACAAGTAAATGTTTTTGTCAAGAGAATTGTTATGCATCAATTTTTGATTGGGTCTTGTATTCTGTGTAACAAGTGACTATATTACAACAGTGATTTTTTTCACAATTCGAGTATATGTTTTTATAATGTTATAAAACTTATCATCATTAACCCTAGTAATAAAGGCACTTTCCTCCGACATGTTAACATGCACATTGTCTTTACCCTCAGTTATTTGACAAGGACTGCAAGAGCTACATCCACACCCTGGAGGGAGCATCAACCACCACCAAGATTCAGCTCCCTAAAGACACCAAACAAGCTTGTGAGTTAAATATTTTCTTTGTATTTATTTCAAACATTTGACCATTCGAGAATGAATCAGCCTGTTTTCACAGAAAAAAAGTGGAACACGGATTATCTTTTCGGGAATCGAAATACCGTGTCGCGGCGACACGATATTAAACCAATCTGTTTCCACAGAGCGCAGCATTCCGATTCGCCCCGATTCCGTGTTCCAAGTCAGGCAAATACCGTGTCAATCGGAAGTCAAGATTCAACCTTTGACCTCGATCGTGGATTCAGATCTACACAGGATTCCACGCTATTCTATTGTGACGTACAGCGCGTATATAAACATATTATTGTATACGCTTATTTCAAAGTATTTTTCAACCAATCACGCTGCAGTGGTGATTGGGGCTTCGCGCGCTCTGATGATCCGCCAGACACGGTTTGTCGCTGTGTGTTTCCACAGCGATTTCACAGGGAGTTTGTTGGGATCGACACATCAAGATCCACCTCCAGAGGTGGATCTGATAATCCGTATCTCGGTCGACTCGACCCGACACTCTTGTGTTTCCACAGGAAAACTGACACGGTATTACACGGGTAATACCGTGTCGATGTTTTCTTTGGAAACACGCAGAAAGTCCACCAATGATGTTGTGCTTCTCTTGCTTTCTACAATTCATCCACAGTTGTGAAAGAAATGGGGAATATGATCTTTCTGCTTTGTATGTTCAATTATTTTCCTTTACATTGTGCAATTCTTAACATTTCAATAAAGGCATTGGAAGGCTACAGTGGCTTTCTCAACCATAGCACATTCATACTTAAAGATGTTGTTTTCACTATTTTAATTTTACATTTCATCTATAGTGATGATTTTAAATAGTTTATACTATGAAAAATTGTGATGTACAAAGAAACTATAATTACATGTATTTTTATTATTTGTTTTTTCCATCAACAGTGGTGCTTATTCAGCGGTATCTGGTGATCCAGTCCTTCGTTCCTCTTGGTCAAGATTTCTCCATGGAATTAGGGTAAATATTGTTTTATGTGCTGAAACAAGTAAACCACTAAACAGATAGTATAATCAGACACATTGACTGTGCAAATAGATTTTCGGGATAGGTGGAGACTGAGGGGATTATGCCCTTTTTATTCATCAAAAAGCAACACAAAATTGAATTGAATTTTTTTATACAATAACATTTAAATCACAGGATTGTATTACATTAAATGTCAGAATGCTATAGTTTTTACTGAGGTAGCCCCTGCAAAGAGAAGCTATATCTTTATTCTGGTTGGGAAAATTCATCTCCAACGCAGTTTGACTTTCCATGTACATCCATCTACATTTGATACACAAGATATGCCCACCTCTGTGAAAAGTGTCATTAGGTTTGAGTTGACTTGAGAATACTCTGTTAATGTTCTATTACATTTGTGAAGATGAAATACAAATACTTTGATTTTGATTTTCAGGGTCACTGACATGGGCAACAACAAGAGACGGTTGTTTTTTTCTACTGCTCAGAAGGAGACGTCTGCCACTCCTCTCCATGCTAAAGTACCTCTCACCATCATAAAGAGAGCAATTGTGAGTATATCAGTAGACTCTGGTATATTATTCAAGCTTTACATTATCATACTGATGCAGATACAGTTTAAATGCAACCCTGTCTAATACTGCAAAACAAGAACCTTTCGTGAACTGAACTCACACGGGCAAACGACGGCCATTTTCACAGCGAGTAATTTTTGCATCTTGCAAAAAATTAGTGTTTTATCAGTTGTGAAGCAATTATTTTGCAGCATAATACTGAATCTAAATCTGTACCACTGACAGCACTAGCAAACTTTTCATGTATGCGAAAGTTAACGGTTTTACACTACAATAAAACTGGAACTACTGAAACTTGATGTTACAGTTCACCAGTTTTTTTCTTCTCTATATATACATATCTGTGTTTAAGTGAATGCTGTTGGTAAACAGCTTATATTAGAAAAATGGATATAATCCTTCCATTTAATTGTTGTTGTTGTTCCAGTGGCTGAATCTGACTGTTGACATGGTGTCCCTAGTAGGTGAGATGTTCAGAGGTCAAACATTCAAGTCACTTGACACCATTATTATCTCAGCTTGCTGTAAGCTCAGGAAAATATTCACCTTGAAAGACCAACCTCCAGATACAACTGATGACGATGGTAAGTTGCTCCAAAATAATCACTCTAGGGTACCAACAGAAAGTAGAGATTTTATACATTATTAAGACTGAAGCATTATTCAGTATTCTAATAAGATGTAGAGATGGCTACCCTTATTTCAGTGGCTTCTGATGGAGAAGCAAGAGAATTTTTTTTGTTCACAACTGTTTTTATGGGAGCCTTTCAAAGGCAAGTGCACCTAGCATTGTCCTGCAGCGACTTACAGTTAACGACCAACTTATTCATCCCCTTGTAAGTTTTATTTTGTTTTTCTTAACTCAAGAATGAAAAGTGGACTGGTTGAATTAGGGCTTTTGTTGAATTTTTTTAGATGTAAGCCTTTATATGTCATTCTCAAGGAGCAGAAATCAGGACAAATCATTTTTCACATACTCAAACAATTCAAAAAAAATTGGTAAGGTAATGAATAATTTAGATTTTAACTGTAGATTAGTCGGAGAAAGACACCAGTTTAGGAAGGCAGAAGCTCCCAACTATGATGAAGAGTATCATTGAATTTGGGAGAGTTGTCAAATCAATGCAAGAACACCTGACCTGTAGTAAGAAATGAAATGAGACATGTGAGGTTATGTAAAGAGATGTTTACTATTCAGATATCTGAGGAGTGTACTGTAAAAGTGTAACTTTTAAATGTGTGTTCATGATTTCTTTTCGTACAGAATCGTATGACTGTACACCCTCAACCAACAGTGCAGCAAATATATCATCTGTACCAAAAGCTTGCCAATTTACTTCAGATTTTCCTCATCACACCCAGGTTAGCACACAAAATATATTCTTTTATCAGGAGGAATGCTATCTTCTCCATAAAATTGGAGGAAGTATAAAGAGAGGAAAATTCATACTTGTCATGACTGTTACTAGTATACACTCATCCTAAGTAGACAAGTGATTTAATTTTAGCGAAGTTTAAAAGTAACCTATAGTTTATGTGGTCTGGTAATGCATAAATATATGTGAGGAGTACATACTTTGTCCATACTTAATGCCAGGGTGCATCAGCATTCAATGGGGGGGGGGGGGGGGGGGGCTGATGCAATCATTGGATCATGATGTCAAGATTGAAATTAATTTCACCTTAATTTTATATTTTTCACTTGTATTTGGTGTGCATTATGATAATCTGATAAATTTAATCTTTTCTTTCAATTCATTTTTAAAAACATTTTTGGACCTCTAAAGGTACTCACCATAAAGTTGTTAAAAACTAATTATAAATAGATGGGCTGCATACTTATTCTCATATGACGGATGCTGATGAATTTTTCCTCTTTTTTATTTGTTACCTGTCATAATATTATGAGTCTCACTGGATGGTGTATGTGAAAACAGATGAAGTAAACATTCCTCTCTTTTCTTTGACAGGTTCTTTCAATGTCCAAGTTGAGACATGCTGAGTTCAAATTAAGAGGAGATGGAAGCAGGCCTTCTTCATCTAGTGAACCTGGTAAAAAAACACAAATGAAAAATATTATTTTCTGCAGCGTTACAGAAGCAGAGCTTTTACATTAAAATGTTATTTGCAGTTGAAAAAGATATTAGAAATATCTTCTTCAAGACCTTTCTGACTGAGGAACTGAGGAAAAAATGTATGTACATTAATTACCCAACCAACTGAAGCACTTTTGCTATTAAAGGAGAAGTCCACCAAGATATTAAGTTGGTTGTAATAGAAATTTTCAGCAAAATTTGATTAAAACAAAAGTTTATTGGATTTTGAGGTTGAAATTGATCCATCACAAATTGGGAACCCCTAACATATCTTACGATTACCAGATGACTATTGACCTGAATTCACACTTTGGTTAGTAGTATACCCTCTTTATTATTAGTTGACATGTTGATTTATTTCTCCCTGCAGTTCATATTTACTGACTATTTAAACCTTTTGTATTTAAAAGTTTAAAAAATGTTACTGACTATTGTGAGAGCTAATTTCACTTTTGCACACATTTGGTTTTCCAGATTTGAATTCCAGTCTGCGTGCCAAAGATGATAGACCAAAACACATAGCATTTGGGACTAAAGTGTATGCACCCAAAACATCATCTGGAAGAAAGGTATCAGCAAGAGAAAGAGAGGTTAGGAGCACTTAGGTATTCTGGATGATCATACAATGCTTTGTTACCTTAGATTATGACATGCTTGAACATTTGCTTTTCTATACACTTATTTTGAAAACTGGATACAGTTTTTCACTTTTGTCTTATTCATGTGATATAATTGAGTTGCAAATTACTTCTTATTTCTGGTGCTAATAGACATTGTTGCAATAAGTTTTAAAGTTCAGACAAGTGTAATGTACTTAGTACTTATATATCATGTATTAAGAAGGATGAATACGTTAGATAATCTCCATACTCCATAGTGGGAAAGAGAATAAAAGCTATTCAAGTCTGCTCTACCCATTCACGACTTGAACTTTAATTGAACTTTGTTAATTTCAGGGGTCGGGTAGCAGTGGAAGTAGAACGAGTCGGTCATCACATTCCAGGTCGCAGGCATCAGATGGTAAAGATTTTTTTATATAAAAGTGCGATGAAAACATAATTATAAATATTGAATGACCTTGAGTGAGATACAAGGGTATATCCCACTAGCTGATGAGCATGTTTCACGTGTCGGCACGGTGCGTGCAATATACCCTTGTATCTCTCGAAAGAAAAGTCATTTATTATTGTTATTTTTATTAATTATATGATATCTAGTACCTCAATTTTCCTCCATATGTTATAATCTTTGTGATTAATTTCAATATCAAACACAGGGAGAAAAACAGATTTTGCAAGGGCTGCGAGCATATATCCATTGTCTTAGCCTTTGCATGTTTAAGGGCGTATTCGTTTGCGCACCCCCTAGCCATGAGATATGGATAAATACTGCATGGTCATCCGGGTACTTTTGAGCAAAGCGTAAGACACACTGATTTTCTGGTCGGCACAAAAATCTTCATACCATTGATAATTTGCATTATTTTAAATGTAGAAGATGTTATAATTAAATGAAGAAAGTTATGTATACCCGGTAGTGTATGTGATTTAATCAATGACGTAGATACTTTATAGGTTTGGAGGAAATTATTCTTCTTTTGTCATAAGAAATATATCACAATGTAAAACAAATTTTGCCATTTAGACATTGTCATGACAAATTGTAAAAGTGCAAAAACAGAACATCATTTTTTTTTAAACCCACTGAGTACAGATAAGACCTAGAAAGACTTATGCATCATGAATCAGTGAACTCTCTGAAATGTATGATAGATGATGTAGAGAATTTCTATTGTGACTTTGACAAATATAGATACAAGACGCTTACGAAAAATAACAATAACATGAACATTTCTTGCATTCTATTTCTCCCTCAGATCCTCCTCCCAGCGCAAGAGGTGTAGCTCCCTCTATCGGAGGAGGAGAGGTCAACAAACTAGTCGTACATGGCCACACCCGTCAGCAGTCCGACCCAGGGACAGAGCTTGACAATCCAGATAAAGTGGATAAAGGTACCTTTCTTTGGTGTCTTCTGCATATGACAAGACTTTTGATCGTCTTAATGTTAGACACACTGTATTATAATAGTCTTAGAAGAATTTATACCGGTAATCAAATCAAATTCCTAATTAGGGCCAAAGTACACTTCATGTTGTTAACGATTGTGAAATGGGAATAAGTTACATTTTTAAGAGATTGGTAACTAGGAATTGCATTGTTTGTGGGGCCGTTCACCAGTTTTGTGCTCCAGGAAATCATGTTACAAAATGGAAGGGGGGGGGGAGGGTGGAAACTTGATCAAATGTTAAAAAAAGAGTACATAAAGAACTTACTGAGTGTGTGTGTGTGTGTGTGTATTGGGTTTACAGACGTGTATCATTCAGTTATGATTATTTACGTCTGGGGACCGACCTTTAAACGTCACCATCAGAAAGACGTGACTCAGTTTTAAACCTGCGTCCGTTGCTGAATCATTTTGTAACTTCCACTGTTAGCTGGGTTACAGGCGCACGCCACAACGCCCAGTTGCATCTTTTATAGCCCTTGCAATATATATAACTTGTAAATGTAACCTTATTCCCATTTTACAATTGTTAACAACATGAAGGCATACTTCATATTGTCATATAGCCAGGTATGCTATTTCATTAATCTATAGATTCATATCCTTAGAAACCTGTTGATCCATTATATATGTGCCAGGTGACATAGATTTTAGAGATTCTATGTACAAAATGTTAAATGTCAAATCTCTCTTGTTCTACATTTAATGGAAAATGTAAAACCAAAAGGTATTATGGTAGATTGTGTTCTATTTTTGACAAAGTCAGGCTACTCATTGTTTAATTAAAAGAGTCCTAGTCATTCATCTGCCGGACGAAGATCTTTGCTGAAACCTCACTGTATATTTCATAATTATTTTTTTATCCAAAGGTACCTTAGCTGGGAGTAACACTTGGTCAGCATCTGTAATCAGGGAGGACCCCGCCAGACATCCTCACCCACCCAGGGAGAATTCAGGAGGAAAGTCACGCAGAGTTGTCAAGGTCCGCCCTACTAGCGGGAAGAAAAGCGATGCCTCTGAATCAAGCGATGTGGATCTGACATCGGCCAGAGGGAAGCAAAATCTGAACTCAAGGGGTAACACCTCAGGTGCTAGTAAGAGTGACTCAATGGCTGCATTGTCCACTGGTATGCAGAACATGGCTATGAGTAGCAAATTGGCAGGAAGAGGTAGGCCTCGTTTGGATAGCCTGTCTGAATCGGACGACCACCAGGAGGCTGTTGGAGATGGGCGCAACGGAAGAAATGCCTCTGGGAGGAGTAAGATCCCTCGCAGGAAGAAGAAGGACAGGAGCAATGGTAGCAGTAAGATGATAGGTGTATCAGAGAAGGAGGAGATGATTGGTAGTGATAATTTTGACTCAAGAACTCCTAGATTGAGAGACGATAAGGATGCAAGAGAGGTTTCTTCAGTGCGATCTGTGGAAGGGAGGGTGATTAAGAATGGTGCTGATGTCAATGTGAAGTTTGGAGAATCAGGTAACCATAAAGTTCTCTTCTTCCTTCCTGCTTGTTGTTAGCTATATGACAAAGAAATTGCGGGCATTCAATGAACATGTACAAGAATTACTGTTTTATATTCTTAATAGAACTATCATGTATGACTGAAATATGTGAAACATACATCATGTATTGATAGCAGTTTCACATATTTAATTCACATTATATTTTAAGGCTTAGCTCCTAAAAAATTGATGTATTTATGCTTGATTCGATGCTATAAGGTCTTTAGATGATATAGACCATTTGTACATCCCATCATAACTTTTCATAGATGAGAATATCCTATTTTTTCTTCTTCTAATGTAGTAGAACATTTTCAAAATCTATTTTTCTCATCATAGTGAAAGTGATATCTTTGCATTTCTCTATCTGTCCATCTATATGTTTCTTTGTCTCTGTTTGCCCCCCCCCCCCACTCTCTCTTTATTTATATCTATCCCTATGTTATCTCCCTCTTGCTCTTTTCTCCTCGCTTGCTCAGATTCAGGTGTTGCATTTTCAGTGGAAACATCTGAACCAGAAGGCAGTCATTCCGTAGTGTCTTCAAGCAGGTAACATTTATTTATACATAATCACTGATGTAGCATTACTTTTCACAAACTTGTTATAAATTGCATGAACGCTATTAGTGATTTCCATGTCTAGTATGCACATTCAAAATTGTATTTTTTTATTTTTTTATTTAGGTTTTATTTCCACATTAACTGCATATGAAGAGAATTTACAAAGTAAGGCATATACAAGGTAACAAAACATGTACATAATATTCGATTGATACAACAGTAATAAAAACGATGTAATGGCAAGTCATTAAATAATTATGATGCTAACAATTATCTGCAGTAATGAGGAGGAAACCTTGGAAGCATTATGCTTGTAATTAAGGTTCCCTTTACATAATACATTTGTTACATAATATATAAAACAAAAACAAAACAAAAGAACAAAAACGGGTGTGTGGTGCAGCCAGCCAACAAGTGTTGATAATACCGATGGTCTCTATCATGATGACCTTAAATGTTTCATACTGGAGTAGAAGTTTATGTTTTAAGTGAAATTTAAAAGTAATTAAACTTGGCAGCTGTTTGAGCGAAATGTCTAAGGAGTTCCAGTACACAGGACCAGTATAAATCAAAGTGTTTTTTTTAGTAAAGTTCTCAGTTTGTGTAAGTAAAAAAAGGAAGACTGTCGGGTTGGATAATTATGAAGTTGTGAATTATGAATGTTGACGCGATGGCATGAGGAAGTTCGTTAGAATTTAATCGAAACATAAAACAGCCTAAAAAGAAATTATACAGGTCATGAACTTTCAATATTTTATTTTCTAAAAATAAACTATTAGTGTGGCTTAACATATTAGTGTGGCAGATTATTCGTATAATTTGTCCAACTGGTAATTAAACGAATTCCCCCATGCATGGTCATAGTTAAGATAAGGCAAGATAAGCGTCGAGTACAAACTTTTCAAAATATACTTACGAAAAGACATTTTTAATTTATTGATTATTCCAATGTTCCTTGATAGAGTTTCACTTACTGGTAAATGTAAGTTGTGTTCTTTCCAAGAAAGTTTATTGTCAGTGATAAAACCAAGGAATTTTGATGAATCAACTAAGTTTATAATTGTTTCATTGATGTAAACATTGCCAGGCAATCCCGAAATAGAGTTGCTGAAGAGCATACATTGAGTTTTATTTAAGTTCAAGGAAAGTTTGTTGGCACAAATCCACTCTTCAACAAGTTTAATAATAATAATAATATTTGCATTTATATAGCGCTCATTACAGTAAATGTATCACAGCGCTTTACATATCATATACATATATAAGAATATCAATAACAAAATAACTTATGAACTGATTACATTTCCTAATTACGCATAAAAAAAAATAAAAAAAAATTGTCTTACAAAATAACTTATAAACTACATGTAATATTACAGGTACAGATTAAGTATTAAATAGAAATGTCTTAAGGGACTTCTGGAACTGAGAAAGGGATGACGACGTCCGTACGTTCTGGGGGAGGTTGTTCCATAGGCGTGGTGCAGCAGAAGAGAAGGATTTGTCACCTGTACATGTATTGGTCCTTGGAACTGCGAGTAGTGCTGGGTCATTGCTTGATCGGAGCCCTGGTCTTGCTGTTTGATGCTTACGTAAGAGTTTCGTGAGGTAGTTGGGAGCAGAATTATTAAGACATTTGTATGTAATAGTCAGAATTTTGTATGTTATGCGCTTTTCAACGGGGAGCCAATGAAGTTGTTGTAGGAAAGGTGTTACATGGTCGTACTTCTTGGCCCGAAAAACCAACTTTGCAGCACGGTTCTGAGCTCGCTGCAGACGCTTCACATTTAATGCAGAAGTGCCACAGAGAAGGGAGTTTGCGTAGTCGATCCTAGACGAGACGAGCGCTCTCACAGCATGCTCACATGCAGACTGGTCCAGGAAGGGCCTGATGCGTGCTATGTTGGACAAATGAAAGTGAAGCGAACTGGATAGAGTTGACACGTGGCGATTCAACTTCAGATTAGCGTCAATCTCAACACCCAAACTTCGGATAGAGGTTGAAGGCTCAATAACTGTACCACCAATGGTCAGAACAATCCCTGATATGAGATGTCGATAGCGTGGACTAGCAACAATAAGGAAATCCGTTTTTTCAGAGTTCAGTTTCAACATGTTGCTCTTCATCCATTGTTGCAGATTGATGATACACGCAGATAATGACTCAAGAGCAGCTGTCATTGCATGCCTGTCCTTTGGATCGACAGAGATGTACAGTTGCACGTCATCTGCATAGATGTGGTGTTGTATCCCTGCATGATGCTTGATGATATCAGCTACAGGATGAGTGTATAAACTGAAAAGTTGAGGACCAACCACTGAGCCTTGTGGAACTCCGAATCTCAGAGGTTTTTGTTCTGATAGCTCATTCACAACCTTCATCCTGAAGCTTCTGTCTGACAGGTACGAGTCAAACCACGATCTCACCATTCCTGAGATGCCAAAAAGCTTGTCCATACGCTGTAGAAGTATTGTGTGGTCAACACAGTCAAACGCAGCAGACAGGTCCAGGAATACGACAAAGGTAACCAACCTGTTGTCCAATGCTCCCAGAATGTCATTTTGTACTTTTAGAAGAGCAGTCTCTGTACTGTGCCAACGGCGGTAAGCTGACTGGTTCTCAACGTTCAAATCATGTTCGTCCATGTGGTCCGAGAGTTGAGACAATGCAGCCTTTTCAATGATTTTTGATAGAAAAGGGACGTTTGAGACAGGCCTGTAGTTCTTCAGATCTTCCCTATCAAGATTGCTCTTCTTGATCAGTGGAACTACCACAGCTTCCTTCAGTGCTGAGGGGAAGACACCGCTACTCAATGATGTGTGTACAATTGATGCAATATATGGAAGAAAAGTGTTAATGTTCTCTTTCAAAAGCCACGTTGGTAGTGCATCTAGCGAGCATGTCTTATTTGGTGAAGAACGTATTAATTTGCAGACCGTCTCAAGAGTCACAGTGTCGAAATCTGACAGTTCGGTGATAGGAACAGAGGCATCCGTGATCATCCCATCATCATTACAGGTGTCCGTAACTCCTGCATTACCTGTCATAAGACTTGCTCTAATCTTCTCTACCTTCTGTTCAAAGAAAGTAGCAAACCTCTCTGGTAGTGATGTAGTAGAGCTATCAACCGGTAGAGCCATCGGTGACCTGTTCAAAAGCGTATTCAGAACATGGAACACATTCTTTACGTCTGCACTGCTTAACTGTTCTGTATAGTACTTTGATTTCTCTCTTTCAATGAGCTTGCAGACCGCATGAACCTGGGAGAGATATTGCTGGCGGCTCTCGACTGTATGCGACTTTCTCCAGCGCCTTTCAACTTTACGCCGAAGACGTCTTGCCTGATGAATTTCATCTGTATACCACGGAGGACGAGAGCGAAAACGATGGACACGCTTAGTCGCAGGGCAATGCTGGTCAAGTACTTCCAAAACAGTTTCATTGTAAAAGGTCACCTGGTCATCAACATTCCCATCAAAAGGAAAGTTGTGAAAAGCCTCAGTTATGCTGGCGATGAAGGAATCCTTGTCTAGATCACGAAAGTTTCGACATAAAGAAATTGAAGTTTCATTCAAGATTTACGGTTTCAAGTAGTGTATTGGGTTTTTGTGTAAGAAAAACACAGAAGAATCATCAGCAAATAATATAAACGACAATATAAATGACAATTGATTTGCTGCTTGCATTTACTGTTTATGATCAAATCATTAGTGACAAGCAAAGGCATTAATAGACACAGGTTCTTATCAGAACTTTGACATTATTATTTTCACCCTTGCTATTTACCCCCTGAAAACTCATAAATGTGTGATTTGTATAAAGAGTTTTAAGTATTTTCAGTAAATGGAGCAAATAAATTCTATTATGGGTTCTTCAAAATATTTGATGAAGAACATTAGGAATAAATAAAAAAATTCCTCAGTTACAGACAAATTTGAAGTTTTATTTTCGATGATAATCATAGAATCACTGGTTTGGTACTTTGCCAAAGATTATCATCAGTCCTAAATTTAAACTTTTGTAAAAACTTCCTATTATACGCAATACACGGAGGCATTGATGCTCCTTTCTGATAATTTTTCATATTTCTTTGACAGAACAATTATGTCAGATACCAAAGATAAGCCTGCTGCCCTCTATACATTCATGTCGCCTCCGCATACTGTTCCAGTCCGAGCACCAGATTATTCAAGACAGCTGGATCCAAGTAAACTTCAGGTAAATGTTTGTCATTAGATATTGCTTTCCACAAAACAAGAATACTGCTAGAATGAAAATTTATGAACTTCAAAACGTTTAAAATGAAGTAATAGGATTTGAAAATTGATCTATTTTTTAAATTAGGTTCCTCCCGTTCCTTTCGCTTTGTTTAATGATTAAAGACAAATTAACTAGGATTAGTGATGGACACAACTAGAAGATTGGAAAATGGTTGGATATATATTACATTTTTATACATCACAACGATGATATTGATTAATGTATCATCTTTGTGTAGTAGCATTGAACATGATTATGCAAATGCTAACATCATCAGTTGATTAAAAAGAAAATACATGTATCTGAATCGAAAAATTGAATCTGCTCTCACCCAAAGAGATGGGTGTATTTTGTATAGCTTGATGCAATGTGATGTAAATGCTGTGTGGATTTCAAATCATATTTCTCTGTGACATCTCTATGAAATATCTGTTTGGTCAATGTTTATTTCAGATGAAAATGCAAGCCATCGTAGATAGCTCAACTCCAACTAGCTTTGGTGACAACAAAAACCAGGACAATTTTGACAGTGTAAATCAATCCTCGAGAGAACTCATAAGTCCAGAGACAGATTTTCTGAGACACGCCCAGCTGAATGATGACTCCGATCTCGAAGATGACTGGCCAGGGAACGGGAGATTAAAGGTTCAAAGAACAATTGAGCGTTCGCGGTCGCGGTCACCGAAGAATAGGGCGGGAGATAAGAATGGAGATGAAAACGGTGATTTGACTCTTGAGGGCAGCAGGCCAAATCAGCAGCAGCAGCCAGCAATGAGTCTATCACCAACGTTACGTCGCAGTAAGCTTGCAGCCTTAGCTCATAGCCAAGGAGGGGCATCACAGCATCCTCCTAGGGCGTCGGTATCGAGGATGAGTATCCGATCCAAGCATCTCAAAGAGATACCAAAGGATGATCCAAGGGTGTCTGAGGTAAGTATTAGTAATGAAGTATGATTTGAAAGTAAAATAAAAAGAAATCAGTTGAACTTAAAGCTACTAGTGATAATGACAGACCTACCCTCTAAAATAATATATGTACTGCTATCGATTTCAATAAACAAAAATTAAACTTTTGAACTGAAATTTCATGCCATATGTGTGTTGTCTCACAATGTATCTTTACCATGCTGTTTAAACTGCTCCACACAATGTTCCAAGATCACTTCACTGTTGAATGGTGATAGATGTATACCATGATGTATGTCATCAAATGAAATGAAATCAATCACAAGAGATTATGACTGGAGGAAATAAAAATCAAACAAAATCCTACAATTCTCTTTAATCCTTCATAAAATTGAAAAAACAGTTGGGAAACACACGCACATCAAATTATACAGCATCTTGAAAGCCACATCTTTCAAACCACAAATGTCACCCAACTGATATGTTGTTCTCATAAATGTTAATCAGGGTCAGAAAAACAACTTTAGCTCTGATCTCAGCTATCCTCTAGGGATAGAACAATAACAAACAGCTGAAAAGCAGTCAAATATAAAATTCATAATTTAGACAAGAAGCTACTTTAAAATATATCACTTAATAACCTAATATAAGAATTTATGCCCAACTTATCTTGTGCGTGATGTTTCTTTCTTTTTCTTATTGCCATTATGTCATACAGAACAATATTTTCCATTTTATTGATATGACCTCCCCCCTCCCCCCCCCCCCCCCCCCACACACAAAAAAGCAAGGAAAGAAGGAGGAGAGGTAAGAAGAAGTAGGGGGAAAAAAAGAAGAAAAAAAAGAATTTATTTGTGACTTTTGAAGGTGTTCTACTTCAAACTTTGCAAACTGCTTGTGATGATTGTTTTATGAACTCATGACTTTGATCCTATCCTTTTAATACTGATTCTAAATCACCACTATGAATCACTTGCCAGATTGAATCAAATGAAATTAAAATCAATCCTTTACAGGACTATGACTGGAGGAAGTACCAATCCAATAACAGTTCGCTGGCCTCCTCAATGGAAGCCAACATGCTGGCGAGCCTTAAGAGACAGCAGCTTGAGGAGCTCTATGAAGATCGTAATGAGGGAGCAGCGAACAATAGTTTGAGATTCACAACTATGGTGATGATGATCAGAGTAGCTCCAGTGACGATACCAATACTACCATGAGCACCTGGAAACCACCGGTAAATATCCCTCTTGGACAATTGATCAGTTACAAAAATGTTGTACACTTTGTACAAACTGAGCAAAAATTGTTAATGGTCAGTGTTTGCCACAGTTTGTCTGCGACCACAGATTCCTGAAATCTGTAACATTTTCAAATATTAAAGTGGCTGCATTGTGCAGTTATCTATTCAAGAATATGCTTGAAATAGCATAGTGGATAGTTTCAAGGAAAACATTCATTTTTGGTGCACTGTTAGATCAATTTGTGTCTCCTTGTATTTCTATATTTTCTTGTTTGTAGACAAAATATTGAATGAAAGCATATGAACTTTAGCTCATTAGGTAAAAACTAGGTCATGTATCCTGTGAGGTATCTAAATTGACAGGTTGTATATTACGCAGGAAATACTTTTGTGAAATTTACACAAGCAGGTGTGGAACAATAAAAATCTTGGTGATATATACACTTGTGGAATGAAAGAAATCTACAAGAAATCAACAAGGAGGAATTTCTTGGCCAAAATCTGTAAACAAGGAGGAATGTAATAGACAAGCATACTGTGGATGGATGGATCTTATCGTGAAGTTCAAGAGGTCATTGCAAATTTAAATATGAGTTTATTTATGGAAATATTTATAAAAAATATCCTTCAACTACAAAATATGAATTAATAAGCTCATAAGCGTCAAGTACTGCTATAATTAACATACTATAATTTTCTTATACTTGATTACTGTTGCTCCTCTGAGTGTTTAATAGCATGTTTTCAATATTTCCTCACCATTTTATGTAATATTTGATTGTTCATAATATAATTTTCTTTTGTTTCAGGATAACTTGAGGAGAGGCAAAGGTTATCAAGAAGAAATGAATTATGCTCCAACTGGAAATCCTCTCATGCAGTCAAACCCAAGGTGAGAAATGGGGCATTCTTACAAGTAGTATTCCTATAGATTTCACAAAGTCTTGGCTAGTTTGTGTTTTTATATCTCCAGCATATGAAATTTAGTTACCTTAATAGCATTGAGCAACTTTTTAATGTAGATATTGGGAGATGAGTTAATAATCACCCTTGCAATGGTATTGGTAGTAGGTTTTAAGGGGCAATGTGTTTTTATTGTGTTCTAGTTGAAAGTGAATATTGCATTAAATAATAAGGTAATGTGGACAGTTTATGGCATGCTTGGATGCCTGAGTGTTTATCTCAAAAGCCAGACATTGTTCAGTAGTTTTGCTAAACCATTCACCACTGATACTCTTTCCCCATTAGTTGCTACCAGATTTGTGACTCTAATTCTTGGTCATTACCTTTCTATTTATTTGTCCCAAAAAGAGCATAGCTGAACAGATTATTAAAACATCCTTCTTTAGTTGAAGTGTTCAAAGGTAATCTTAAAATATATCTGTTTGATTCAGCATACAATAACTTGTTCTCTTTCATTTTTGGTATGATCCATCTTACTCCTGTTGTTCTTTTGTTTTAATGCAGATGATTTTACGCGATTTCATTTTTTTGCACAAGTGCCCCTTGATCATTTGATTTCAAGTAGATTTGGCGCCTTTTGAATCTCATATACATTGTGATCTGTGATCATTACTATGATTATTATTTCACCACTGATCTTGTGATGTATACCGGTACAGTGCTGAATTGAGTATCAATATCATTTTCACCATTGTTTTCTTAATACTTTCTTGTGATATATGCAGAGACTGGTCCAATCTGTATAGCCCACCTATTGTGCTACCCAGCGAGAAGAAGCTACAAAATGAACAATCCCAACTCTCACCAGTCAACGAGTTTGGATCAGGTAAAGCATGTGCATCATATTGCCTTTCTAAAGCAAGGAGAGTGTTAACTTTGTGTAATATAATAATATGATTTAAAGCATTTTCTGCTCTCAACAGAAAATATCATCTTTATTGATGATAGAGGAGGTTCAAATCCAACCTAGCCAGATGACTCGAAGCCTGCCTTCTATGTTAAATTGCCCCTCGTCTGTCTCATATTAGGTTACAGTGGAAAACACTCCATCCCTCCGATAGGACGCTAAGTGGAGGCCCGGTGTAGAGGAGAGTTACCACTTTTGCAAATTGAATACCCACTGCACTAATCGAATAGGAGTAGTGGGAAACCATGGTGCAGTGGTCCACCTGCACATTCCCAATCAGTTCTACCGGGTAGAGAGACCCACAGGTCACAGTGATTCAGTTCGTTCCCCCCCCCCCCCCCCCCCCCCCCCCAGGCACAGGTGATGCCAAATACATCAATAATCTGCCAATAGAGTATGGGAATAAACTCATATCCATGCATTGTTGTAAGGAAAAATAAATAATTTTGTCATTCAAGTTTTATTATCTTGTAAGGCAAGGGAAATTAGGAAATGTTCAGAAAAATAATCTGATACAGTAGGATCACTTTGGGCTGCAACAGACTTCCTTTTCTCAAAAAACAATTTCATAAGGGTTGAACAAAATGTAAGGTATGTTTGTATAACTGTGGTCAATAATATATGGGTGTTAATGTTAAATAAATATTATTGCTCTTTTTTTACAATAGTATAATGAAGCTCTTGTTTTTGTTCCTTTATTTCCAATAACCTGTATTGAAGATTTATCAAGGTACATGAAAATGCATGTCCTTCTGTCCCTATCGCATGGTGGTATGGGAAAAATATGAAAACAAATTAGTTCCATGATCATCAAATTTCCGGTGTTAGTTGCATTTCATGGCATGGCTTAATTTTACAGCCATGAAAGAATAGAGAGATTTTGATTGTCATGTGCGTAACAAAGCATCTCCAATTGAATAATGTAATCAGGACTGACAGCAAAACACTGATGTACACTCTGGAATATCCATCAATCCATTTCCATGAGAAAGATATGTGTCGAGAGAATATTTAATTTACCATCCGGGGCTATTTATCAGTATGGTGTTTACATACTTGCGCAGACAAAGGCCGAGTGAAGTTTGATGCCATGCTTACGTTTGAAGCCATTGCCAGCTGCTGAAGAAAATCCTATTATCACTTGCTATCCGTACGTAATGTGAAATAATGCCTTTTGATATAGGGGCATGTGAACTTTGTATACGCCCAAGAGGACAGGTTTCATGTGTGGATTGATTAATGAGTTAAGCATCCTCTGGTGGTGAAATGTTTCTCATGCTCGTATTAGAAGATTCACCAACATTTTATACTTGTTTTTCGTGTGACAACTAGTGCAGTTCAAATATTCTTAAAAGTAATACTGTTAGGAGGCGCGATAGCTCAGTTGGTAGAGCAGTGGTCTCGTAATCCGGTGACCCGGGTTCGAAACTAAGTCGATGCGCTAGTGCCCTTTGGTAAGGAATTAATCCTCATTACCAGGTCCCTTGGAGAGGACCTTAAGCCGTCCGCCGCCTTGTTGCTTACTAACAATCTTAGTAGCCAGGTAAAATAACCACCACCACAAAATTGCAAGTTATTATTTTCTATGTGTATAAATATGTATTTACCAAAAATGATAATGTCGGTCTCGATCTCATGGGCCTTCTTACAACTTCTTCTGAGGACTGAATAAGCTTGTAGCTTATCAAGAGAGAATACATAGTACATACCGGTATATCTTTCATCTATCTGTAATTAGAAATGGAGTCATGTACTCCAAACTCCTTTGAAGGGAAACTGTCAAATTTTGACATTAGCTGTTTTATTGTAAACATCATTCATTCCGCTGTGAAATCTAATGTATGCTAGCTTTCTTTTAAAGGTGCTATGTCCCATTTGCAGGCCAAAAAATGAAAAGGTTAAATTCCAATAGCATTTGAAAGATAATACTAATTTAGAATGTCCCTCAAAATGAAAGGGCTTGAAAATGTCTTAAAGTGGAAAAATAAAATAACGACCATTAGTTGTTGAATTGAAAGTAATAGTCTGATTTTCAGACCCTTGTACCGAATGGTCGTACGTTTTGTGCTGCGCAAGTATTCAATCAGTTGAATTATGGCTATTACAAGAATTAGGTTATTGATGTAGACAAATCCTCATGTACCCTTTACAGCTCATGTTATGTATGTTATTACCAGCCAAAGGAGAAAAAAAAGTCAGTCAGTCAGTCACTCAATAGTGTCTGACATCGAAGTCTAGAAAGTAAAAAGGTTTTCTTGCAAAATTTGAATATTAAGACACTGCTAACGTTTAAATTTCACAGATTTGCAAAGTTCTACAGAATATGATGTTGGCTGTAAATGGGACACAGTACCTTAAACAGAACTCCTAAAATAAAAACTATGGTATTTTATTGGTTGATTGACATTTTAGATCATATCTATTGCAGAGTGAGTCAAACCTCTGACAAGCATTTAATGTTGTTGAGGAAAGTTTTTCACTTAAAGGTAATACAAAGTTTTGGAATGGGGTCATGAATTTGGTTTGAATGAACATTATTATTAGCATTATGCGATCCTACAATATTAAGTGATCGTTGTCGCGGTTGAAATCAAGTCTAAAGTTATCAAATTGTAAATAATAAACTCTTTACGTTGTATAGCTCCCTCTCAAGGTCAAGATATTAATTAAGCTATAAAACAATGTTTCTTGACTAAAATAGACCGATTAGCTATTCCCGTTTGGAAATTATGTATCACAACTACATATTCTGAGATTTTCATGGTCGCAGCTACTATTGTACGGCCATAGGCGCTATAATTTTTATTTTCAATTTTTCTCAAAAGCAGAAGGGTTTTAGGGGCTAAGTTTTCTAGTGCTTATAATAAATCCACAGGGGCATCCAAATATATCAAAGTTGTAAATAATCACTATCCACCCAATCTTTAAAACTTGATATTACCTTTAAAAGGTGGCTGCATATAATTAAAAACAAATATACATTAAAAGTGACCTAATTATATTTGTGTGTTGGCAAAATGGAGGAAAAGAATCATTCATTTCCACCCAAAGTTCATTTTCCTTGATGGCTACTCAAAATTGCAATTATTTTGTGTTGTTGAATCTAATTGAATAGAAATGGCATCTGTCATAAGGATCATGTTATAAGGTTAAGGGATAGGGAGACAAAGAAAAAGGGGAGAGGAAAACACCAAAAGAGTGAGAAAATTGAAAGGAATTCTAGGAAAGTTGATTAAACTTTGTGATTCAATGTAATTTCAATAATTCGCATAATGAAACTTTTATGAATCTTGCACACCCATGACATTCTTAAAAGCTTCATGTTAAGGAAGGGTTCAGGTTTAACAAAATTTACAACGATTGCATTACTATGAAAAAGTGAAATCATCCTTTGTGTGCCCATAGACCTACTAAGAAGCGCCCGACACAAACATTTTCTTTCTGTGATCTACACCCCTTATCCCCTTAAACCAAATATAGTTATGACATGTGATGTACGCAGGACAGAATGGATGTTTTTAACAAAAGTTATCATGGAAATCAGGTTGATCTTGAAAAGGAATATAAACCAAGACCCCACTGTAAATTTCTCAGCAAGAGATGTGTTCATTGGATCCTTGGCAAATGAGAGGTGACAGCTACTCCATCTGGTGAAGTCGTAGAGTTTACTATCCCTACTTCCTGCGTCATGCATCCCAGGGACGTGATGCATCATAAACATCAGTTGAATTATCTTATACGTTATCACCACTTGTTCTTTCCATTCTTCCCAATGTTTCCGGCCTCTTTTCTATTCCAATATCTTTGATAGAGGAAGAAATTATTTACCGGTAATCATCTCTATCATTTCATGTCCTTGGAATTTTTTTCTTTCTTTCTGGGAGGGGGGGGGGGGGGGGGAGGGGGGGAGGGGGAACGAAATCCATGGCCATTGAAGTAGAAGAATATGTATTGTTATTCCTCTATGAAGGTGACTGCATCAAATATGTGAACATTGGAATACATACCGGAACATATCTTCAAGTATATTACCTCATTTGTTTTTGTTTTTTCAGGGTTTTATTAAAATTTCCAGTGTTTTAATTTTTTTTTTTATCATGATGACCTGACATTTGTGGTGGTGACAACTAACAAGTGCTCTGGTGTTTATTTCATCACATATATAGGATGAGGATTAGGGTTGCAATTGTGATCTAGGTGAGGTTTAAGGTTAGGGTTAGGTATAGTGTTTGATCTAGCGTTGAAGTTTAGAATTTAGTTGAAGTAGAATTTTGACTGAAGATTATTTATCACAGAAACATGTGTCTTCTATAGAGGAAGAATCAGATTCTCTTTCATTTTGAATAGTTGGAAATGGAGGCAGAAGTAACAAGAGCTACTGAAATAGACTTCAAAGTCACATGATTTCAGGGAAATGGAGTTGTTATCGTATAATCACCACTTTCACCAGGTTGAGGATACCTCTTTTATGATACTGCTGTAACATAATGTAAATCATCACAAGAGTATGAAATGTGAGAATATTCATCATCTTTTTGTTTCTCTTTCTGTTTCTCTTTCTGTATCACTTTAGTTATTAGTTTATGTGTTCACAAGCTAAAATCTTCAAACAAAAAGAAGATTTATTGTTGTGACAGATTATCTATTATGCCTGCACAAGATTTAGACTTAAGAGCATCTATGATGGAGGCTAACACAGTCTGCTGTTACATCTATTCGACTCTTGCTTTCCAAATAAAAGAAGAAAAGAAAAGTAAACAGAAAAGTAACATGACAGTTTTCTTCAATGTTGTGTCACTACAGTACAAAGTCCCAAGATACTATGAAATCTGTGCAAATGGTGTTCAATCA